TTATTCTTTATTTTTAGTTGTTTTTATTTATTTTATTTATTTTTATATTTCTTCTTTTCTTTTATTTTATTTTTTTTAAAATAAAAGATCTTTCACTCGACCCTCATCACCTTAAAATTTGTTACAGCTTGATAGTTTTTAGTAAATTTTATTACAATACCAATAATTCTAATCTTAATAGAACTATAAGGTCTGTTTCTGTTCTATAAGCAAGAATGTATCCTTTTGATTTATGTAGGCTACAGCATCATAATCTTGGAAGAATGCATCATCGCTATATTTTTGTGGTATACTAAAATAGATCGATGAATAATATAGCAATTCATCTAAATGCTTTTCTAAATTTACAACTTGCTGCACTCAAGGCAAAGTATTACTTCTAACTATACAAGCCTCTTCTTCTTTGTTAATGTCTTATCTTACAGACAATAATGCCTATGCATGTGAATTTAGACAGCATATTTGTGCTTATAATAATGCTTTAGCATTTATGTCTATTGGGGCAAAAATTGATGAGCATATTACAGAAACTCAAGATCCTTATAGTTTTCATATACATGATACAATGTATCATAAGATTGGTTTTCTTATTCTTCAATTACCTAACTCACTTTCTTTTGCAAAAATTTATATTTATAATACAGAACACGAAGCTCAAAATAGATATAATTTTATGCCTTTCTTGAATTATATAACTCTTCTTAAACTTCAGAATATGTTTTATGCTACTAATCTCTATGTACAAGTTTTTCAACAAACAAGTACTATATTGCAGCAATACCTATCTTAAAATTTGACAATGATAATAAAAGATTCAAAATCGACTGATTCATATTAATATAATATTCTATATACTTCTGAAATCACTGCAATTATAGTTGATAATTAAAATAATGAGCCTGGCATTTGTAATCAAGATATTATACTTCATTCTTATTTAGGTGAGTTATAACGAATATTTGAATTTCATAAATCATATGCCTCATTACATTATATACAGAGTTGGCATGGACCGGTCAATGGTCAAGCTTGACCAGACCAGTTTGACCAATTTGACCAGTTGGTCAAAGGGTTTAGTATTGGTCAAATTGGTCAAATAATATATAAAGTATATAAATATATTTGTTTATTTATTTGTATATTAAAATTATTTATTTAATAGGCTAGACTATTTGACCAATTTGACCAGACCATTTGACCAATTTGACCAGACCAGTTTGACCAACAAATTTTTGGTCGACCAGTAATTTGACCAACCCTGATTATATACTATTATTTTCTAAAGGTGAAGATGGCTGGCATCTACAAATTTCTCTTTGTAATATATTGCAATATTCACTTTAACAATTGAATAACCATCTTGAGTCTCATGCTGATAGTTTAATGAATGATGATAATGATAAGCATAATAGATATCAAAAGTATGTTACTATGTTGCAATATTATGCATATTGCTTACAATTAGGCAGACTCAGAGAAGGATTAGGGCTTCATCTTGCCAGACAGCTTTTTCAGCAATACATAGTAGATGCTTATGCAAATGTTGACAAAGTTATCTTAATTTTTTAAAGCAAAACTAAAAAAAACTGCGTGCTGATCTTTATAGTAGGTACAAGATACTTTATATACTAATGATAAAGCATCTTGACATTCTATTATAGTAAATATAGAAAGGTGAATTATTCTTCTTTCAATTTTTACAGAAGGCCTATATCAAATGCACTAACTGTATCAAGATGCTATAGCTATTGTATGTATATTAGGCAAACCTGATTTATTCATTACCTTCACATACAATCCTACCTGGCCTGAAATTACTACTAAACTTCTTTATAATCAGTCAGCATCTGATCATTTGATTTGACAGCTAGAGTTTTCAATATAAAATTAAAAGCTCTAATAAATAATATTTTAAAGAATCATATTTTTGGGATAGTAATAGGTTATATATATATAGTTGAATTTCAAAAGCATGGCCTTCTTCATTCATATATTCTTTTAATTCTTGATGAAGAAAGTAAGCCAAGATCCATTAAAGACTTTGATGCAATCATTTTAGCTAAAATTTCAGATAAACCTTTGTATCCAAAAGCTTATAAAACTATTTATTGATCTATGATGCATGGTTCTTGTGGTTTTTCTTTTTCTAATGCCTCCTGTATGCAAAATGAAAAATGCTCTAAATAGTACCTATGTAGCTTTTTCTTTTTTATATTTATAAATGCAAATAGTTATCCAGTATATCAATATTTAAATAATGAAGTTTTAGTTAAGTTAAAGGTATCAAATTAGATAATCATTGGGTAGTCCCTTATAATCTCTATTTTGCAATTAAATATGATGCTTATATTAATGTTAAGATCTGTTCTACTATTGCTGCTGTTAAATATCTTTTTAAATATATTTATAAGAAGCATAATCATGCTACAATTGAGGTAAGTTAATCACATAAACTTGAATCTTTTGAAACTAACGAAATTAATCTTTATCTAAATGCCTATTATATTTCTGCTTCTGAATCTGCCTGGAGACTATTTTATTATAAATTATATCATAAAAAACCTAATATTATGTAACTTTAGGTTCACTTTTCTAACCAGCACATGATACTTTTTCATAATAACTCTATGTCTGATGAAGTTCTCAATTTGACACTACTACTGAAATCATATTAACTGCATGGTTTAAGGCAAACCAACAATTTTAAAAAGTCTTCAATATTACATATGCTGGTTTTTCTACCTACTTTGTATATGACTATAAACATAAAGAATAAAAGCCTAAACAATGTAAAAACACTATTGAACAGATATAATTTGTATATTCTAGAGCTGGAAAATGCTACTATCTTCGAATATTATTAAATGTTGTATATAGTACAAAATCATTTTCTAATCTTTATACTATTAATAATATCACTTACTCTACTTTTAAACAAATATGTAAAGCTCTGAGCATGCTTTATAATGACAAAGAATGGAATGCATGTTTACAAGAGGCTAGCATTTTACAATCTAGATCTCAGCTATGTTCTTTATTTGCTATTATTCTTCTTTTTTGTTATTCTACTAATCCTAAATTACTTTGAAAAAAATATATTTCATCCTTTAGCAACAATATAATAGATTATTCTAATAATACTATTAAATATAATATAGCTTTGCTTTGATTACAATCAATTTTAATTCAGAATAGGACATGTTTTGAAAATTTTTCTAATATGCCTATATTAACATCTTTACACATTGACCAATCTTATCATAATCACTTGCTTGAAGAGGAACTTTATTATGATTTCATATTTCTTAAATGTAAAGCTACTGAAAATTATACTTTTTTAAATACTGACCAACATGCTATATATAATACTATATTGTTTGCAATTAATTATAATTAACCTGTTATAATTTTTGTAAATGATCCTAGAGGCTTAAGTAAAATGTTTCTTTATAGTATTCTCTTAGATAAGATCAGATCTTCTTGTCATATAGCTCTTGTCATTGCTTTTTTAGGAATTGCATCTCTTTTGTTAAAAGGAGGTATTATTGCACATTCCAGATTTAAAATTCCTTTTGATTTGCATAAGGATTCAATCTGTAATGTTCTACACAGTTCTGACCTAGCAATTCTTTTACAACAAACATCTCTTATTCTTTGGGATAAGGCTCTAATGTCTAATCATTATGCTTTCAAATATGTAGATAGAACTCTTAAAGATTTAATAAAGGCATTAAATTCTATATTAGAGCACAAACCTTTTGGTAAAAAAGTCATTATTTTCAGAGAAGACTTTTGCCAAATATTATCTATAGTATCAAAAGGAAGAAGAAAAGATATTGTAGGCTCCTGTTTGTTGTGCTCTTATTTATAATGCCATATTAAAGTAATAAAACTAACTATTAATATGCGCTTGCAACAATCTTTAAACCCTATTACTTTATCTGAAACTCAAGAATTTGCAGATTGGCTTTTAGAAATTGGTAAAAATCATGTTGAACAACATATAAATAAATCAAATTATATTAAACTTCCTGATGATATTTATATTTTGTTAGAACATCTTCATGATTTAATCAATTTCGTATATCCTGATCTTAATACTAATGCAAATAACTTTTATTATATAATTGATTATATAATACTTGTTCCAAAAAATACTAATGTTTCTTTAATTAATTCTACAGTAATGTCTATTTTTTCTAGTGACCAAATTGAATACCTAAGCACAGATATTATTAAAAAAACAAATGATACTACTCTTTCTACTCTTTATATTATTAAATTTCTAAATACTATTAACATGAGTGGTTTATTTTCACACAAACTAATAATTAAAATAAGTTCTCATGTTATACTTCTTTACAATATTAATTCAATGTAAAGTCTATATAATGAAACCTATTTAATTTGTTGCACTTTTGCTCTGCACATTATCAAAGTTCAAATTGTTACTAGAAAAAATGCTAAACTCAAAACATTTCTTTCTTGCATTACTTTTACTCCTTCTAACTCTAATTTACCTTTTGTTTTTAAGTGTCTTTAGTTTTCAATTCAACTTGCTTTTGCTTTAACAATTAATAAAGCCCAAGGTCAAAGCTTGAACCATGTAGAGATTTATTTACCATCTCCTGTATTTTCACATGGTCAACTTTATGTAGCTTGCTTTAGAACTATATTAAGATATAACCTAAAATGTTTACTAATCGGCTAGCACTCCCAAGAAGGCTATACACAAAACATTGTTTATCTAAAAGTTTTATAATAGCTATTTACTTTTTATAATACTCTGTTAAATTATCTTATTTCTTTTTAATTAAAAACTTTATAATTAAAAAATCTTTTTATTTTTATATTATTTACTTAATCTCTATTTTTTGCAATCCTGCTTTACTCTATCATGGTTTTAATAATTATTTTTGTTTTAAAATATAATAATGTAATTCTTTTTTTTTTTTTTTTTTTTTTTTTTTTGTGTTAAAGGCCATACTTGTGGTGATACTTTATTGACTTTTATTGGATT